GGGGGGGGGCTAGTTCCACACTAACACACAAGTGAAGATAGCAGAAGAGTGACAGTGTGAAACTTGGATTTTATTTGAGGGAGGGGAGGCTGAGAGGGTACAGGAAGTCACTAAGATGACAAAACTAACACATTTGTCCATACACTACCTAGACATGTTGCTTACATTCTATAGCACTTGAAAATACATCAAGAAACCAAAACATCAAGAACAGAATAAAAAAACAAAATCATACTGCTTACAGATACACATGACAAGTTTTTAAAGTGCAGCAATTCCCAAGCACAAAAGTTACCTTCTCAGTGAATTCTAGACTAACGTAACATAGATGACGCTTGTGTTATACACAATTTCATCCCTCCCAAGTGCTTTTTCACTTAGTGTTTCTCTTGCGCTTCCTTTCACGGGCAAAGCAACATCTCCCAAGACATTTACTTCCTAAGATTATATTCCCTTCTGAAGAAAGAAAGAGATGAAGAAAAAGAAAGTGTTTCGATACTGCCAAATATTGCCCTCGAAAGTAAAATGAAACTTTGTGGAGAACCACTAAGTTAAGCTAATTGTCCAAGATCAAGTAAAAACTGTACTGACCTAAGAAACAAGTTCTCCTAAACCCTGGCTTAGTGGAGATTTCTCTTACACCAAGCTATAGCTCCTAAAGGGAAGTCATCTGTTAAACTGGATAAAATGTAGAACACTTCAGATGTGATCATCTGCATTTTGCTACACTGGTAATACTAATCAAGTACTGTACTGTCTCAGTTTTAATACTAATTTCCCAGGGTCTTCAAAACGCTATTCAGTTTCTACAGTATCTCCAAAATCTCATCACCTAATTCTGGACAAGAGTTTAAACATGAACCCAGAAATATGCACAACACTACCTCAAGTATTACTAGTTAAAAGTGGTAAAAGTCATAGCACTAACAGAATAGTAAGAGCTAAGATTTACAGTTTATCACTACATTCTGCCTTAAGCACTTCATGGGGACTATCTAATTTAATCCTTCAATATCTTTAATAGCCCTAGGATAGGTATTCTCTCTCTTTTTTTTTAGAGAGTAGTACATGAGAAACAAACAAAAAAACAGAACAGTAGCAGCATACCAGTATCACAAACATAAACAAATCAAAGCAAGAGCATTCAAAGTGATACAGGGTCTCAAGACAAATTAATACAAATTAACAGTGGTTGTTACATTGCATATTGCTATCCTCAACTACACTGTTCAGATTATCAGATATAAGAATAAAAGATTGCTCAAATCATTAAAGAGAATGAGAAAATAATTCTTCAATAAAACCTTAGAGATAATACAGAGTTTCACTAGACAAGATGGTAGTTCACCATTGTAATTCCACTGCATATTGTTACCTTCAAATCAGTTGCTCAGACCACCAGACACAAGCATGCAAAATTGATCAGAACATAAAAAGTTGTGAGCATTAACTGTTCATTTCAATATACCATCAGACAACAGCAATACAGTTATTGCAGCTATTCATATATATATTTATGTTTTGCCTTCTTTCTTTTTTCTTCTTTCCCTCATCCCAGTCATTCCTACCTTTGAGCAATTTCTTTCCCTTTCCTATCATCTATTGTACATTTTGAGTTTTTAAGATAGGTATTCTTATCTGCACTTTATGAAGGAAGAAACTGAGGGACAGAGAACTTTAAAACTTGTCCATGGTCTGGCTCCAGAATCTGTGTTCATGACCACAACATGACATCTACAGCGCTTCAGAGAACACTATGAATGTCATCTCCTTGGTTTTAAGTACTCCACCCCTACTAATGTAAACTTTTCCCCAGCTGTATCAAGTGCTCTCCGCAGGAACATTACTGGCACCTTGCTCAACTATATCACTCTACTGATCAGTTCTCTTTGGCTACAAGACACACATCCTCTGTTTATAGTGCTGTCCAACCTATATTTTCTATCTCGAAAAAAGAACACGCATAACACTTTTTAAATGTCTCAATGAAACTGATGCTGACATACTTGCGCAATAACTCTATCAGGAAACAAAGGAGTTTGACTGACGTCAATGATCCTCAGCAAACATATGCTAGACATTGATCTTCATCCCTTTATTTCCTAAGTGATCCTGAATCATCTTTTCAAAAATGTATTTCACAATTTTGCTAGACAACAACTTAATCTATAAAACTAGAGTTTCCAGGATTGAACTCTCCCTGTTTTTCAAAGTTAAATCTGCCAGCATGCTTCTCCTTCTCCATCATTTTTACAAAACTACTCCCCAGTGGTTTTAATATCACACTGGCATGTTCTTTGAATATCTTCAAGAACTCAAACCACTTAAAGCCTCTAGGACTTAGGGAGATTTAAGGAGGTACCAAGACATCCTTGGTTGGCCTTGGGAAGGTGAGTGGGTGTTCTGTGTGAAACACCATAGATGGTGAAGGAAGGCAGTAGGGAGAATACTAGAATAGATTCTGTTCATAGTCTTCTATGAATGTGGCACTGTTCTACTACATCATGACATGCTAACAGGTGCCCTGGCAAATGGATTCTCCAAACTGGCCGCCTCTGATGAGAGATACAGCTGCCTGCTTGTAACAAGTCAACTCTGAGTGCTTACTGGATATACCTTCTGTGATCTCACCATCCACTTAAGTGTTAACACAAATTTAAATAATTTCACCTAGCATACAAAATAATGAAGGTGTGCCCTCACACACACACACACAAATTCATTGCTAGCAATCTAGAGAACCAGCTCTCGGTTTCATACAGAGAAAGCCTAATTTGTACTCTGTGAGGAGCAGAAAGAATACATTTAGAACTAAAAGAGCTTTACAAGAAAAGTAAGGAAAAGTAAACAAAGATCAGCAACTCTAAAGGAGCTATTGAGAGGTGGGTCCATTCAGTTAATATTTGCAACCCACAAGCTTCTAAAGTAAATATAACGATTCCTGAACTTTGGTATTTTGGTACTGAGGTAATAACGACCCTTTAAACCATTTAAAAATTAGTTTTGAACCAGAAATCTCATCTAGATCACTTCACATAGAAAAATAAACACTATTTCAGGAGCAATTGGAGCCACACAAGAAAAATAACAAACCTTAAATACTAACTTCTAAATAAGCCAGCTATGAAACTGGAAAGTTATATAACCTTGCCGAGGTCATTTTTTCAACTGTAAAACAGGGATAGTAACACCTCTACCTGTTAGCACTGATGTAAAAATTCAATGAAGTAATGGATAGAAAACAGCTCAGCACGTGAAAAAAAGTTAAATGTTCAGCTTTGTTACAACTATTAGATGACCTTAATACAGTCCAACTTTAATTATTCCTTTAGATTCCACAAACTGAAACATCTGAGACTTTATAAAATGTTTCCCTCTTCGCATACCTGACAGGGCTTTCCAACCGCTCCATGGGCCTTAAAGCCATTTTTTTCCAAATATCACAAGCTGCTTGTCACAGTGGTACATACTGTAATCCCACCACTCTGGGAGACTAAGGCAACAGGACCCTAAATTCAAAGCCAGCCTCGGCAGTTTAGGGAGACCTTGTCTCTAAATCAAAAGGGCTGTGACTGAAGCTCAGGTTCAATCCCTGGTACTGAAGAAAAGGAGGGGATTCCAAGTAGTTACCTTTCAGAGGCGCTTGATCAGTTAAACATAAAGCAACTACATTTTAACGATTAGCCAAGGAGCTGGAAAACAGTATTCCTAGACATTCATTAGGCAACTGAAGTTTCCAACAATTTTAACTATTCCACTTAGAAGTGATTACTTTTTTACAGAGGTTTCCTTCATAGAACTAAAAAAAGCTGCCAAGAATTTTCTTGATTTCCCTCTCTCCTGTCTACTGACAACATCAATCTTCATAAATGCAAAGGTCATAAATGCAAAGGGTAAGGACAAGATTCACAACTTAATTCGTAACAACGACTCACTTTAAAGTTTCCCACTATTCTTTGTGCTACTGAGACATCTTCAGCCTCATTTCCTAATATGCAGTGTTTCCAGCCACCACCAGGTCTCTGCTGTGCTGTGCACGTCCCTAGTAATCGCAAGATTCTATTTTCCTTTCTCCACCTCATGCAATAAATTAACTGGGGGCTGAAGGATACAGTTCAGTACACACGAGACCCTGGGTTCACTACTCAGCATCAAAAAAGAAGAACTACTAATAATTCAATTGAACAAAAAACTGAAATAATTTAAGTAACAACTACATAGAGCAAAAGCATTTTAAGGCAAATATTCTGCATTCTTTTCCCAGTATTTATTTCCACCAATTCCACAAGAGCAATTAGCTCAGCCACACAAAACACACAGCTCCCAGATAAACACACTCCACTCCAAAACACGGGCAGCACGTGCTTCCTTATGGAAACTTAGTACAGAGCTCAACCACCAGCCAGCTTCACAACAGCCAAAGCAGTTAGAAAAATGACATCTTCCTACAGGAACTGAGGTTTGAGAGTCAGTACTTTCCCAAAGCTTTGGAACCAAACTGCAGATATGATCCTGCTCCCTCATTAGGAAGCCTGAAGAACCACAAACTGAAACCACCCCTCTTGATCCTTCGTTATCAAACCGCAGTAGTTACCAATATGCGATATTTAAGAGTTTTGCTGATTCCACCAAGTCTATCCTGCCCCATTCTTTCAGCAACTGCACTGAGGAGTAACTAACTAGCTACTGCTATATTAGCATTAAGTGGGATCCAGTAAAAACTAAGGTTTCTTTTATTTCTCCGTGATAGATGAAGCTGCACAGACTGCCATACTGGGTGTTTTCTGGAAGACTTCAACCGCCTGTTTCTTCCCTTCTTTCAATCAGGTCCCAGTCTGCGGAGTGCTCCAACCAACGCCTGCCCCAAGAGCATTCTAAGGAACCACAGAATCGCTGAAAGAGCAACACTTACAGTCTCCCCTCCTTGAGGCAGCCTCCGGGAAAACTTCCAGGAGCACCAAGTTTGCGCGCGGCTGGGGCGCGCTCTGGGCTTGTGCTCCCGGTGTGCGCTCCCTGCTCCAGCGCAAGCAGACAGGCGAGCGCCCGTAGGGACGCCGGGCCCACGTTGTCCCTCTCCCCCGCCTGCGGGCTCGCTCGCAGGGACGGCTGCGGGCCTGGAGTCTTCTGGCAGACTAGCAAATCCGCTCTAGGAAGGCAGCTGCGAATCGGGAAGCTAAGCCCCAGCTCAGAGGCTCCAGCATGGAGGCGGGTGTGGCTGACAGCAGAGGGTTTTTGGAATGCTGGGGTGTGGCCCTCTGCCAAGGCAAAAAAGAAATGAGTCAGCCCGTCCACCTCCAACCAATAAGCATGTCCACTGCTGGTTAAGGCGGAACTTTTCTTTCCTGATTTATACCAAGTCTAGGAGCCTTTCACAGCTTTTTCTTTAATTCTTTAACTTCAGCACAACTTTCACAAAGTGGGAGGTTGCCCTTTAAAAAATCTCAGGGAACAAGGATTAATCCTTGCATTTCTATTGATAAAAGTTTTTGATTTAGGATTTCTAAATGCAAAGAGGATCAGATCTGACTTCTCACACTGTATGACCTTGGGCAGTTTAATTATCTGCAGTAAAGAGGATAAAATGCCCACTGGAGTTTGTAAGGGGTATTATATGTAGTAATACTGTACTTGCAAAACATTTACCACAGTGCTTGACAAAGTAGCCACTCAAAAAAAAATAAAGCTAAGTCTGAGTATAGTATCAGAAACTCCAAAACTATAGACAAAATGTCCCACAACTGTTTAAAATCTTTTTAATGGTAATTATTAAAAATGTTAGAAAAACAGTTCTTTTGTATTGCTTGGTCTGAGTCCTTTGTTTAAGAGGTAAGGAACTTGGGACTTTTGACTTAGGAGTCTGATCTGGTGTTCCTATTACACAATTAGCAAAGAGAAGGAGGAGGAGGAGGAAGAAGGTAGGAGGGAGGAGGAAAGACCATGTTGGGGTGATTTTACTTGGGCACTTTTTATTACTTTTTATTTCTGTTTTTTGTTTGCTTTTGGTTTTTTGCTTGTGGTGCTGTGGACTGAACCCAGGACGTGGGTACTAAGCTATATCCCCCACTCCTTTTTAAATTCTGAAACAGGGTCTTGCTAAATTACTAAATTGCTCAGGCTGGGTTTGAATTTGCAATTCTCCTGCTTCAACTTCCCAGAGTGCTAGGGTTACAAGTGTGCACCACTACACCTGGCTTAGTCCATAATTAACATCAGTGGGTTTTTTGTGTGTGTTTTTTTAATTTTTAAAATAATATCTTAGTCAACAAAATGTACCTGATATTTTTTAGAAGACTGCCTTATATTTTATTGCTAATTATAACCATCACCACACTATTGATCTAAAATGTCCATTAAATTGAAAAATCTTGTTTCTTAATCTCACTGCCAGGTATGATAGCCCATGCCTGTAATCCCAGCACTGGGGAGGCTGAGGCAGGAGAATCACCATGAGTTCAAGGCCAGCCTGCACTACATAGCGAGACCTTATCTCAAAAAGCCAAAAAAAAATTTTTAATGGATTTATATATTACTTGAAAATACATTGATGAATGAGTACTTTCATTCAAAGCTGGAACAAGTATGATAAGATACTTACCTGGACAGTGTTCAAATGAGAACGTTTAAATTATGTATATCAAATGCACTAGAAACATAATTTCTATTTTTGTACTGTTCTCATGCCCTTTAATCTCTAGATTCCTTTACAAAGATTTGTTAGAAATGATTTTAGGATCACGTTTCTCAAGACCACCAGGAATGTCTGCTAAAAACTGCAGATCTGGAGCCCAGATATTAAGGTTTCGAGATGGTTCTGCACTCTAAAGTTGGACAACCACTAATCTCAAGAACTGCTGCAAGTCATATCTGGCCCACAGATTTGTTTGCTCCGATTTCAGTATTGACATTGTCATTTTAAAATTTGGTGTGTTTGTAACCCTCAAAAATTTGGAGTTTACATATATAAGTCTAAATTTTTGGCTTTTCTTGAGGTATCAGGGTATTATTATTTTTAATTTTTTTTATTTTAAAGAGAACAGTAAATGAGAAAAAACAAACAAACAAAAAAATAGAACAGTAGCAGCATACCAGTATTACAAACATAAACAAATCAATGCAAGAACATTCAAAGTGATACAGGGTCTCAAGACAAAATAATACAAATCAACAGTAGTTGTTATATTACATATCGCTATCCTCAACTACATTGCTCAGATTACCATATGTAAGAATGAAAGATTGCTCAAACCATTAAAGAGAATAAGAAAATAATTGAAATGAACAGTTAATGCTTACAATTTTTTATGTTCTGATCAACTTTGCATGCTTATGTCTGGTGGTCTGAGCAACTGATTTGAAGGTAACAATATGCAATGGAATGACAATGGTGAAGTCCTACCATCTTGTCTAGTGAATCTCTGTATTATGTCTAATGTTTTATTAAATCAGTGTTTTTACAAGGTAGAGTAAATTGACCCCATCTCAAAATTCAAAAGGGAGATGAAGATGTACAGTAGTTTAGTGTGAAGGCCCCAGGTTCAATTGTCAATACAAAAAAAAGTAATTTTGGAAATATTCTTTCTAGGTCACTGTGTTTTAAACATTTATTTTGGAATAAAAATATTTAAAATAAACTGCAGGTAGCTGGGAATTAACAAGTTATAGGAGACTACAGAAAGGCTAATTTCTGAGTTCCTGTTAAAATACAGTGCCTACTAAGTGCTTCTAGAGGGGAAGGAAAAGATATTTTAAAGTTACAAAGTAAACCTTCCTGGCTTTGGAGAAGAATTCTCTTTTAACTTCCTCATATTTGTTTAAAGTTAGTCATTTCACAGGCAAGATTCATTCAAAATAAGACCTAAAGTGAGGTCAGAGGTTTTCCTAAAATGCTGTTCCTTTTTTATTCTCCAAAATAGGCTGGAAGAGGTGGACAGAACCCTGCCACTGGGGGCAAAACTCCCTTCCTAGTCCCATCCATGCCAGTAAGCAGCTAGGTGAGTTGCTTCATCTTTCTCTGAGGATTTCTGAGTTCTTATAGCCGAGAGCCCAAACTACAGTCAAAAGGGCAAAAGCAAGACAGCCAACACATGAAGCTGAGCCTGTCTCCTCCAAGAAGATGCTCATACATTTCTCTCAACTCTCATATAACTTTAAGGACAATCTTACTCTCCTAGGTGCTCTAAGTTAAACTTTGAAATCATCTGAGCTCCTTCCCTCTCGCCTGACAATTCACTATCACAGGGTATAACATGAAGAGTTCATTTACATCTGTACCACTTTTCCATTCCTGGTTCAGGTATTCATCTCCTCACACCACGGCCACTGAGGCTGAGTGCTTTCCAAGGGCTGTACCAGATGGCAGGCTCCTTCCTCTGTGCCTCCCAAGACATCACAGCCATCACAGGATGAATGTCAAAGTTCAGCATGCCATTATGTCATAAACCTTTCCTCTCTATTAAACAACTGTAATTTTATAGTAGAGATCAAAAGAGAAACAATTTGTTTTAAAGCAACTTTCCTCAAATATTCATGTACATTTTAACTGTATACTTTTAAGAGTGGTGATTATTTACAAAACTTGCAATTACGCATACTGGGTGAACTGGTAATATGTTGGCTGCTATAATATTAGCTCTTATACATAAGAAAACTACATAAAACCTACGTGTATGTGAATAGCGTATGTGAATAACAATACATTTCATAAAGTTGTGAGCTAAAAAGTGCAATTGTGTTGGGATGTGTGTGTGTGTGGGATCTATAGAGATATAGTGCTTTGAATATAGATGAAGGTGGGAAAGGCAACATGTATAGGAAAGAGATGATCTATGTAATTCACTTCTACTGTTTAGCACTCATTCAGGCTTTAAATTCAGAGCAGGTGCTCCATCCAGGAAGAAGGCTTCAGGTGCAAACAGAACTCAAAACACTTAAAAGGCCCAGTGTGGTGGTATACATCCACAATCCCAGCACTCTGGCAGGCAGAAGCAACAGGATCTCAAGTTCTGGTCCTACGTTGGCAACTTGGTGACTTAGAAAAATGCTGTCTCAAAAACTAAAATATAGAAGAGAGGTAGGGATGGACCTCAGTGCAAAGGTCCTCGGTTCAATCCCCTCACTACCTAAAAAAAAAGTTTCCCATACATAATACTTGTGTTTTGGAAACAAGAAGGACACCATTACCAATGTGATAAAAACATTCTCACAAGAGAAAAGGGGTAATTGCTTCTAGGGTAACTATACTGCCTAAAACTAAACTGCAAGGTACAAGGATTCTCAATACAGAGTTCTGGGACAGGGCAGAGCAACAGCCCACAGGCCCAATGTCACAATGTTCACTCATTCACAAGCTGGCTCTTATCCCAATTCCGCCACCCCACTCTTAAAAAACTGCAAGGAACTGACTGTTCTACTCAACAGCATATTTTCACTTCCACACCTAGGTAAACACCATTCCTCTGGCTGATGACCTCACACTCTTACCACTTATCCCACTCTGGCTGGCCCTACTTGAACACTTCTCGTGCCACTTCTCACTGGCCCAAGTCCTGGAGATCTCTGATCTCTCCCAAGTGCCTCCATACCTTACTCTTTATACCTCCAGTTCACAACCAAAGTATATAGCGTCTCAATACTTTCTTTCTGCGGTCCTTGACCTTTCTCTCTCTCACCAGATAACAAGAATCCATCTGAGGCAAAGAGTGTCTTTCAAAGGCTCTGTATCCACATGGCCTTAAAATAAACAGTCATTGTTTATTGCTCTAATGATGTTTAAGTTATATAACTGCCACAATGAAGAAAGGAAAACTTTCCTGACACAACCCAAGAATAAACAAATATTATAGTTGTTCAAACCAGATGGCAAGCAAAAGCCCAGCAGCAGATGCGCTTCTTTGCTCTGTATGACATGTTCCAACAATACAGAATCCACTGAGAAACCAAATCCAGCGCTTCCTAAAGGAAGGATAGTTTAGAGAATAGTGTCCTCACATCAAATCTAAACTTCTCAAACACAATCACTGAGAACAGAGACAATCATTCTCTGCTATCTTCTTTCAAGTAAGGAATACAAAATACATATTTGATAATTTGTCAAAATACCAATTCCTCTTTATATACAAACACCTCTCTCAATGTGTTAATAGCCAGAAATATCTACCTGTTACAAGTAAATGACTTTATTAATAAATCAGAGGTAGCAAAAGGCAGTTCAAGACAATGTAAGTATTAGAACCATCAGACGCATACATTTATTTAA